CTGGGGAAGTTGCAGTTATCCTCCATGTTTCTCATGAGGAAAGTGCTATTCAGAAAGATTACATAACTTGACTTAGTTTACTCAGTTATTAAGTGGGAACAGCTAGAACATTAACCTTGGTCTTCTAACTCCCAATGTTAGATCTTTCCTCTGTACCTTACATCAGGCATGTTTTTCATATCCTCCTCACTGTGCCCTGGGGAGAAATAGGGAGTGACTGTTATTTAGATGCACAGTTACTCACATATGCACAGTATTTTTCAGAAAGATGTTCACATGATAGGTTCTCAAAGATCTTCTTGACCTTTAAATATTTATTCAAACTGATGCCTGGCACCTGACTTATTCAGATTTCTTTCATGAACATTAGATGATAAAGTAGCGAGTGTTTTTAAGGAACCATATTTATGCTATACACGTTCTGTCTTCACTGCTTGCTTTTATTGATCTTCCCTCTGTGGCAAAAGTGGTTCCTGGCTGTGACAACCTCTTAATGGCTCTCTTACTGAGGGGGTTAAAGCAAACAAATGATTCATATGCTAACCTGCTGAGGACATTATTCATATTTTAAAGTAGTGCTTTATTAGCAAAATGTTTTTATTTTAAAACAAACCATATACATGATACAATGGGTACTAAAAACAATAGGGAAAAAGTGATCATCACATCTTTTTCTAATGTGCTTTTAAAAAACAAGTTTATGTGAAGTACCCAAGTCTGCTCTTCTTTTATAGTTTACAAAAAAGTTAAAGAAAAACCTCAGTAGTTACTCATTGCCGAAGAATCTAGCTGACATCTTTGGAAAATAATTTGAAAAGCCAGTGGATTGTGTACATGCTGTGCATTAAGCCTTGAGCTCTCTTTTGCATTCTATAATTTATATGTTGTCCCAGCATGAGGTAATTTTCATGATTTTGCCTTTAAATTATGCATATTAAAGTGAAATGCACTGATATAAATATAGACATGACCTATAAAGATTTCTTATTTTTACCAAAATTTAACCTTTTAAAGACCTCTGTTGTCTAAGCCACCCTTGTCATAAAAAATGACAGAGCTTTTCTGTATTAGAATTATATTAGTGCTAGATATACATATTACAGTAGATATTATAATAGGTTTTTTATAATAAGATATTAAACTATTGATACTTTGAGGAATAAGTGTATTTATTAAGAGCTTGATGAAAAGCATACTAACTTGGGAAGCTTTAGCATGGGTCTATTTTTATGCAAAGAAAATTAGAAGAAAAATTTGTCTGGTAGGTATATGACCTGAATTGATTTTCTAGTGGCGAGTTAGTCTGAAATAGCTATAGTCTTGCCTTCTGTAAATGGTCTGCACATGTTTGAAAGGTATCTTTAGCTTAGTGGTACAATCTCCAGCTGTGAAACAGAAAATTTCCCCACTGAGCTGAAGTGACCCACTCAAGCCCATGCTTGTAAACTTGTTCGTTAACACACAAATGTAGAGTTATTCTCTACCTTCCATATCTCCCTCGGCATCAGGGACCAGGAATCTGTGGTAGACTATCTTGTGCTGCTCTAGAACAACTAAAATACTGAAAACTGGTCTTAGAAACTCAACTACCCAATCCTCAAGAGCCATCATCAGAGCTGGAAGAGAAAAAGACGCATATCCTAAGACTATGTTGTGCGAGGGCAGGAAGGCAAAGTTTCTTCTTACATTTCTGGACCTTTCTTCTAAGTTTTCCTGCTTTACTACTTTTGTCTTTGTTCTGTCTTAACATCTGAACTCAGTTACTCTTACTGCACCAAGATTTAAGAACCCCTACTCCCTAAGAAGTAACCAGAAATGTTACCCATATTTTCCAGCAAACATTGGCTTATCATTTAGTTATCCATATCCGTTACCCTGTTGTCTGGCAAACACTAGTTTATTAGTTTATGTATCCACACTTGGGAGACCAGTACTGTGTGTTAATTAAAAGCATAGTTTTAATTAACCATGAAGTACCAAGATTCAAATCTCAGCTTATCTGCTTAATAGTTTTGTGATCTTAAAGACTTTTACTTAACCTCTCTGAACCTGAATTTCTTCATTTATAAATGATCTGGAAGGGATTTAGTGATGGTATATAGTAAGTACTTAGCACTGTATTTGCATATGGTAGCCACTTAATAAATAGCTACTTTTATCATTACTATTTAGTTGGATTCCCCTATTAGCATGAAGTCATTTATGTCATACATAACCTCATACTTGAGTGAAATAATAGGCTTGATATACTCATTTATTAGCAAAGCATTTTATTATAATTCCCACCCTAGCCAAAGGTGAAGAAAAATGAGTGCACAAATATGCTGATGGAGATAAAATTGCATAATACAACGTTTTGAAGACCAATTAGGCAGTTTATATCAGTTCCCATAAAAAATGCTCTTTGAGTCAGAAATTCCCTCTCTAGAAATCTACTCTGAAGAAGGTGATTCAGACCAAAATTTGCAGCCACTAGCATTTGATAATGGTGGGTAGGATATGGGGGTGAGGAGTGGGGGTGGAGGGGGACTTGAATGTCCAACAACAGAGAATGGTTGAATAACAGTATTTTCACATAATTCATACTCTGTAATTATTATGAAATATTTGATGATACAGGAAACTGCTCACAATATACTACTTAGTAAAAAAAAAAAAAAAAAAAGTAAAATGTGAAATACTTAAATTTTGTACACTAAGAAATACATTTCTTTCTCTCTCCCTTTTTCTCCCTCCTCAGAAATAAGACTGAAAGAATATACATCAAAATATCAAATTGTTTGTCTCTGGGTAGTTGGATTTTATTTTTTTATCTTTGTACACTTTAGTGTTTTCCAAATTGTATTTAATTAGCAAGTTACTTTGCAAACCTCTTACGAAAAGCAGTGGGGGGAAGATTGGGTGTCTGGGTATCTGTTGTTTATTAGTAGTGGCTTTATTTCTTAAAAGCTTTGAAAAACTGAAAGCTGCTCTTTGGATCCATAAACCGATCTCCTAAATTGAAGTGTTGTCTCCTAACCTAAAGCAATTTAGTTGGTTTGAGCTAAGAGGTGGCCAAATGTGGGTAGCAGGAGGAATTGTTAAGATAGATTCTGAGTATTCGTGAGTACATTGATATTGATGTAGCAGATAAATAAGAGCTTAAAGGAGAGGTGGTTTTTAATATGGAGAATGAGAGGAAGCTTCTTGCAGAAATAAAACCACAGTGAAATTTAATTAGACTTGCAAAGAAGGTTGTTAAGCAAGAGGCTTGGGTCATTTAAATTTTATTTATTTTTCAAAAATATCTGTGATGGCCAGAGGGAGACCAATGTGCATTTCCAGTGGAAGATTCATGGAAGAATATTTTGTGACTATAGAAAAATTCTTAAGGCCTGGCTGGCATGGCTCAGTGGTTGAGTGTTGACCTATGAACCAGGAGGTCACAGTTCGATTCCCAGTCAGGGCACATACCTGGGTTGTGGATTTGATCCCCAATGTGGGGTGTGCAGGAGGCAGCCGGTTAATGCTTCTCTCTCATCACTGATGTTTCTATCTCTCTCTCCCTCTCCCTTCCTCTCTGAAATCAATAAAATATATTTTTTTACAAAATACTTAAGGATAATTGGCTTTTTCAGATAACTTGTATTTTAAAGTTCTGTTTAAAGAACAGAATTATAATTTTTTGCAACTTTTTTAAAAATTAGGATCCAGTTTATGGAAAAGGAAAACTTGGAGAAATCCAGGGACTTATTCTGGGAATGTTGGACACCTTTAACTATGAACAGGTAAGCTACTTTCTGTTTCTAAGCCTGTCTATGGTGGAAAGAAGCTATTTCTTTTTCTCTGCACCTATACTTTTCCTTTAAAAATTACCATCTATTTAGTGGAAGTTCAATAGATTAAAATGTATAGTTTAAAAAAATGTTAAACTTCTCTTGACCTTAATTAATTAATATATATATTTTATACACAAACATACATTCCGGAATGTGGAAATGCATCAAATTTGGATTCATTTTATTGTTTTGATTTATTGGCAGAAATCAAAAATATGAAAAACTTTCTGGAAAAATAATTGGATGCAAAGACATAACCCATGAAAGGGAAGGGTCAGCATGAATTTAGAAAATTACAAAATAAAATTAAAGAGTCTTCTTATAAATATCCTGAAGCAGATAATTGCCACTAACCAAAAATGGCCATTAGTTCTCCCTTAACTCAAAACTGCCTGTAGCTTAAATTCTCAGTTGGAGCCAGGTGAGGAACAGATTTTTTTCTTAATATACTTCAAAGTAACTCATGAAGCCACCTAGGAAAAGTGCCATTTTGGGCATGGTAGATACAATTTCTGCTTTTTTTAGTAATTAGAGAGAAGAAAAAGAAGCATTGGGTGACAGAGCTTTTCTTAGGGTGCCGTAAGAACTGCAGTTTTGCTGACACCCCTGCAGGCACAGAGTGCATGTCAGCAGAAGGAAAGCTGAGTGCGAGGCAGAATATTGTTGGGAACTTTGGAAGAGGAGGAAAGGATGGGGTTGATTGGAAAGAATGACATTTAGTTCTATGCTTGGACCATCAGAACTGAAAGTTCTACATTACAGATGCAGTTAAAGGGCTAGGCTCAGTAGCAAGGAGGATGGTATATTTTCCCCAACTGTACATCTAAATGATATTACATATATGAATGTTGAGAATTAAATGTAATGTGAATGCAATACTTTATAAGCACATAGAACCATAAAAATGATTTAATGTGGTAGTGTGAAAATGTCTTCATGTGACTTTAATGACAGATGTCACAGTTTTGAGCAGTTTCAAATGACCTGTAAGTGCTGATCAGGAAAATGTGATCTCTCTGCACAAGGGAGATGTAAACTGAGTAATGGCCATTAGCTTTTCCAGTGAAAGGTTATTTGAAATATTGCCATGAATGCAGTTTCTATTTTTAAAAAATCAGGAAGTCCGGCTGGTGTGTCTCAGCGGTTGAGCATTGACCCAGGAACCAAGAGGTCACTGGTTCGATTCCTGGTCAGGACACATGTCTAGGTTGTGGGCTTGGTCCCCATTGTGGGGCATGCAGGAGGTAGCCGATCAATGATGTTCTTCTCTCATCAATGTTTCTTTCTTTCCTTCTCCCTTCCTCTTGCTCTAAAAATCAGTAAAACATTTTTAAAAATCAGGGATATTTTCGTTACTTGTTACAACACTTCAAGTCATTTAGAGAGAACTTTTTTATACATGTAATAAAATAGATTTGGGTTTATCTAGTCATTCAAAAGCCATCAGTACTGAATTAAGTCATAGAATGGCCAAGCATACATTTCTCATTAGAAACTAGTAACAGCTTTTTAATAATTATTTTGAGAATTTAGTTAACCACTTAATTTGGAGTTTTTAATGCTTATTTAATTTTATACATTTATAGTATATTTTAATTTCAGTTGTTTGTGGTTGAAAACAAAACAACTGATATTTTCTATTCATCCCCTCTGTGTCTTTCATTTTATAAACCACTTTTTTATTTGTTTGTCTTTTGTTTTGGCCTTTCCTAGACCCTGCTGGAAACAACTACTAGCCTTCTAAACCAAGATCTCCACTGGTCACTGTGTAACCTGAGAGCTTCCATCACCAAAGGACTGAATCCCAAACAGGATTACTGCTCTATATGTCTGCAGCAGTATAAGAGACGCCAAGAAATGGCTGATGAAATTATTGTCTTTAGGTGAGAGAGAAGGAAATGTTCCAATGTATGGTGTGTGTGTGTACAAGTATGTTATTACCAGGCAAGAATACCTGTGGGTACACAGCCCCAGTCGATCATTCTAGCAGTGAACAAAACAAGACAATGTTCTTGCTCTTGTAGACCTTCCATACTGTGTGGGAGTCAGAAGGAATGGGTGTTAGGGTGGTCAGGCAATAAATAAATGTAGCGTAATAAGAGCTATGGGGAAAAATAAAGTACAGGTAAGGGGATGGAAGGATGAAGTGTTCAGGGTAAGAGTGCTATTTTAAGACACCATAATGAGGAAAAGCATCTCTAAGGAAGTGATATTTGAGCAGAATGAGAGAGGTAGAAATGAAGGTTCAGAATATATCTTAAGGGTAGAGCTAACTTGCTGATGTATTAGATATGGAGTGTGAGTTGCCTGAGCAATTGGATGAACAGGGTACCATTGTCTAAGATGAGAAAGAACAGGTGTGAGGAACTGGAGAAATCAAGAGTTTTGTCCTGGAGATGTTAGATTTGAGATGAATAGTAGACATCCAAGTAGGGATGTCAGGTAGACAGTTTTTCTAGTCAGAATCCTCAAGACATGTCCTGGAAATATAAATTTAGAAACTGACAGCATATAAATGATATTTAAAGCTGTAGTACAAAGAGAGAAGAAATTTAGTATAAAAGTTAAAGGTTTGATCTCAGGAGTAAAGACAGCTCACCTAGAATATGTGGATAGAGGCGATATGAGATAAACTCTGTAGCCAAACTTCTTGACTTCAAATCCTAATTTTTCTACTTACTATCTGTGAGACTTTGACAAGTAATTTAATCTCTTTACATCTTAGTTTTCTCATCTGTAAATTGGAATAATAATGATACTATTTCCAAGGGTTTTGTGACGATTAAATGAGATAATTCACTTAAGACATTTGCATCATGGTGACATATATAGTAAGCACTATATAAGTGTTAGCTACTACTTTATAGGTACAGGAAGATTGGTAGATGTGGTGATAGGAAAGGGAAGTAGTTCTCAGCACACAAAGAGCCCATTCAACAAATATTTATTGAGCACCTACTGTATGGTAGGTACTGTTCTAGGGGTTAGGGTGCAGTATCAATGAAACAAAGGATCTGCTCTCATGGAGTTTACATTCCAGTGTCAAGGGCAGAAATGTCAGATAGTGACTACTATGGGAAAAAATAAAACATGTTAAGTGAGATACAAAGAGCTTGGGGAGAAAATATATTTTATATGGGTAAGCATGGAAAGCCTCACTGTTAAGGTGACTTATGACAGACAATTTAAAATTATTAATAAAAATATAATTAATAATGACTGTGAATAAAATAAAACGTGATATAGAAGAAAGAGAATGTTTGGAGCTACTAATTTATAAAGTCATTAGGGAAAGTCTCACTATTTAAGTGACATCTGATCAGAGACATGAAGTGGCTGTGCAATGTCAGAGGAGAATACCTGAGGCAGAGGGTCAGCAAGTGCAGAGCCTGAAGGCAAGAGCGGTCTGGACAGATTTAAGGAGTAGTGAATGAGTAGGGGAGTGCTGCCTGAGCAGAGAGAAGGAAAGGAAAGATGGTAAGAGATGACTTCAGAGGAGGAATAGAGGCAAAATCATGTAGGAAGTGCATCATTATAAAGAATTAAACTTTTACTCTGAGATGAAAAGCCACTGAGGATAGGATTAACATTATCTGACCTATGTCTTAAGGATCACTTTGTGTTGAGAATGGTCTTTAGAAAGGCAAGGGTGAAAGTAGAATGACCAGTTAGGCTACTGCAGTAATCCAAGTGAGAGAGGGCCCAACGTAGTAATTATGAGGTAAAACGTGGTCGGATTCTGGATATATTCTGAAGATAGAGCTGAGAAGATTTGGTAACAAATCTTTCTAGATTGGATGTGAGGTGTGAGAGAAAGAGACTAGTCAAGGATGACTCCAAAGATTTTGGCCTGAGAAACTGGAAGAATGTAGTTGCCATTTATTGAGATGTGGAAGGTTAGATGAGAGCATGGAGTGGGGGTGGTATGTGGTGAAAATCAAGAATTTTGGCCATGTTAAATTTAAGTCCATTAATATTCAATGTAGAATTCTTGAGGAGAAAGATGGGTGGGGTTTAGGAGAGAAGTCTGGGCAGTTATCAGCATGTGGGTGGTATTTGAAAGTTATGGAACTGGAAGGAATCACTAAAGGAGCGAAGGTTTTATAGAGAAGAGAAATATTTTATATAGAAAGAGAAAGACTGTAAAGACTACAGAAGAGAAAAGGATTGACTTCTATGGCAGTCCAGCATACAGGTTTGGGAAATGAGGGGGAATCAGTGAAGATGCCTGAGAGTTATACTCAACATCATGTCAGGAGGTTCATTTGTTAATTTAATGTAATCAATGGGGGATTTCTTCATAGGAAGAGGGTAAGAATTTACTGTAGCACTGACATTCTTGTTAATGCTTAATCAAATCACTGCTTTTGTCTTGAATTTGATGAGGCAGACAACTCATGTTATTATGTAAGCTACTTATATAATAAGTAGAGGCCCAGTGCACGAAATTCGTGCACTCGGGGAGGTGGCGGGGGGGAGGTCTCTCCGCCCAGACTGCGCCTTCTTGCAGTCTGGGACTCCTTGGGGGATGTTTGCCTGCCAGCTTAGGCCCGATCCCTGGGAGGATCGGACCTAAGCCGACAGTCAGACATCTCTCTCACAGTCCCGGGCTCTCGCAGTCCAGTACCCCTCGCTCCTTACCGCCTGCCTGCAGGAGAAGTGGGAGAGGCTCCCGCCACCGCCTCTGCACTTGCCAGCCATGAGCCTGGCTTCTGGCTGAGCGGCGCTCCCCCTGTGGGAGCACACCGACCACCAGGGGGCAGCTCCTGCATTGAGCATCTGCCCCCTGGTGGTCAGTGCACAGCATAGCGACTGCTCGTTCTGCCATTCAGTTGATTTGCATATTAGGGTTTTATTACATAGGACTAGAGGCCCGGTGCACAAAAATTTGTGCACTCGGGGGGGTCCCTCAGCCCAGCCTGTGCCTTCTCGCAGTCTGGGACCCCTCGGGGGATGTCCACTTGCTGGCTTAGGCCCGCTCCCCGGGGGATCGGGCCTAAACTGGCAGTCAGACATGCCTCTGGCAGCCCGGGAGCCCTTGGGGGATGTCCACTTGCCAGCAGGGAGCAAGCCTAAGCTGCAATCGGACATCCTTAGCACTGCTGAGGAGACAGGAGAGGCTCCTGCCACCACCACTGTGCTGGCAGCCGTCAGCCTGGCTTGTGGCTGAGCAGAACTCCCCCTGTGGGAGCACACTGACCACCAGGGGACAGCTTCTGCATTGAGTGTCTGCCCCCTGGTGGTCAGTGTGTGTCATAGTGACCAGTCATTCCCAGTCGTTCTGCTGTTAGGGTCAATTTGCATATTACCCTTTTATTATATAGGATAGAGGCCTGGTGCACGGGTGGGGCCAGCTGGTTTGCCCTAAAGGGTATCCCGGATCAGGGTGGGGGTCCTGCTGGGGTGCCTGGCCAGCCTGGGTGAGGGGCTGATGACTGTTTGCAGACTGGTCAAGCCCCCCAGTGGGGACCCTCACCCCATGGAGGTATGGCCAGCCTGGGTGAGGGGCTGATGGCTGTTTGCAGGCTGGCCAAGCCCCCCAGTGGGGACCCTCACCCCATGGGGGTTTGGCTAGCCTGGGTGAGGGGCTGATGGCTGTTTGCAGGCTGGCCACAGCCCCTTCAGGGTGGGGGGCCCGACTGGGGTGCCTGGCCAGCCTGGGTGAGGAGCTAATGGCCATTTTCAGGCTGGTCACAGCTGCGGGCTGGAAGCAGGTATCTGGGATTTATTTATCTTCTATAATTGAAACTTTCTAGCCTTGAGCGAAGCCCAGGGCCAGCAGGGCAGGCGGGAAACTTGGCTTCCTCCATTGCCGGAGGCACCCCAAGCCTCCTGCTCGCTCCAGCTTCATGGCCACCACCATCTTAGTTGGGTTAATTTGCATATTCACTCCTGATTGGCTGCTGGGTGTGGCTGGTGGGTGTAGCGGAGGTATGGTCAATTTGCATGCTTCTCTTTTATTAGATTAGATGATTTCCCCCAATTGACGTTTTTCCAAACTGTCTAAAAATATTTCATAGTTTGAGAAATGAACAGAAGTTTAGCTTATTCCTCAGGTGGTTTGTAGTCAGAGAACTGTGATTTTGTTCTTACTAACAGCTTAAGTATACAAATATGTGAGTCTGGATTTCAAAAAGAGAAGACAACAATAACTTTATTCCCCTTCTTGTTTCTTAACCAATACAACCAAGAGTGCATTTCAGCATATCAGAAATCTTTATCATTTATGAACACTCCAACATAGCTTATGTTTATGAGTTTTGTAATAATGGAAGGTGCAATTGGTTGCCTTCATTTTGCAGCTGTGGCCATTTGTATCACTCATTTTGTCTGCAAAACAAAGAGTGCACCATAGAAATTGAAGGGCAAACAAGATGGACATGCTACAAATGCAGCTCAAGTTACAAAGCAGGAAAATTAAGTGAAAATTCATCTGAAGTAAAAAAAGGAAGGATAACTCCATCACAGGTAAGACTTGCTTTCATGGCAAAATGGGGATGGTCTTTTCTTATAAATGTCTTGTAGGCCTGGTCTCATTTTTTTGCAGGTCCTATAGGCTTCAGCAAATTTACCTGATGAGAATCTAGTGCATGACATCTGTTCAGTTCTACATAGAGGAGAAGAGCGTCTCTTCTCTGTCCAGCACTGAAAAGCAGAAATTTGAGAGCAATTTTCTGCCCTTGAAATTATTATGGTCTAGACCAAAGAGCCGCATGTGGCTCGCGAGCCACAGATTGCCGACTACTAGTCTAGTTGAAAAGCAAGATTACATACAACTGCTTGCTTAAGATCCTTTGACAAAGTAAGAGGTCAACAAGTACAACAGTCGCACTGCTAATGAGGACCTACCTATGTGCTGAGGCATGCAGTTATTACTTTTATTTATTTATTTTATTATTTTATTTATTTATTTATTTATATTTATTTATTTTTGTGCGGGGGAATGAGGGGGGATTACATAACTTAATACATGATCATCCCCAAAATCCCACACCGATCCGGGGGGACACCTAATTATTAGAATATTATT